AGGTGCAAGTGGAACATGTCATTCCAAATCTTAGCAGTTGCTGATAAGCGCACTTAGAAACTACTAGGATACCCAAGACCAGCACTGTCAAAGTATACAAGTGAAAGCCAGCAGATATAGCTATGAAGTTATCACTTAGTACAGCCAAATTAGTACTTCTGCTCTCCTGCTGCATCCATCCTGTGTTGGCTGGATCTGTATTCCTCCTTGCCCACCGCCCGCTTCCCCTTAAATAATACTTCATTTGCTACTTTAACCACAAGCAGGTTTTCCATTTTATATGGAATTGTTTCCATTTTATATGCAATTGTTTGTTGTATGTAGTTTGGGATAGATATTTGCCATAGGTGTTTGATTAATCTATTTCTTCACCAATTATAAGATTTGATTGCTAATACCTATACAGCTGTGTGTGTGTGTGTGTGTGTTGGGGAGGGGGAGAAGAATGGGGGGAGTAAAACCATTTGAGGAGTTGAGGCCAAGCTGTGATAGCTTAAGGAAATAAGGCTAGGAAGTAAAATGAGAGAAGTGTATGGAATTTAAAGTGCTCTAGGACATTTAGGTGCTAAAAATGTCTGGAATTGTGGTGTCAAACACATGCTAGTTTATTGTTCCTAGCATACTATGTCTGGGTGTAATTATATTTCTTCTATAACTAAAAGAATATTTGTGGCCAGCTCCCTCACTGGTGTCAATCAGTGGCATTACCTCAGTTAACACTAGGAGGGGATCTGGTCCCCTCTCTTTCTAACAGAAAACCTTAAACATTTGAAACCTACTATTTTAAAAATATGTAGAATGTACTGAACTTATGTTCACTGGGATGGAAACCGCCTGGGTGTAAATCCCTTTTCAAGTATAGAACTCAACACGATTTATGTGGAGAGTTCTATTAAAAGTAAACTAGGTATTAAGGAACATTTCCAGAAGTATTAGTCAGTGTGGCTAAGCAAGTTCTGTAGATAAACACTTAAAAGGCTGTAGGCAGATTAGAAAAATTCATCACAGCTTTCTGACAATATCTGTTAATCTATTTATTTAGCAGGATTTCAAAGTGAAGTGTACTTTGGCAAGGACTGTGCACTGCAGTTGTTTCTGCTGGCCTCAGAAAATTAAATTAATTCACTTGAACTCCTTTTTTGTTATTTGTTTATTGTCAGAACTCTCTTGATGACACAATCTACCAATAGCACAATTCTCTGTGTCATTTCTGGGCAGGTGCACTCATGATTTTTTGCCTTCTGAAAATGATTATTGCAGGAGGCTTGCAATTAGCGCTTTGCCAAAATACTCCTCCTGGCTGGAGAAAAAGAGGAAAATACATGTCTAGAGTTTACAAATAAAGAAATTTCTGAGTTTTGTGCCTGATTTCACTTGGGGTTGTATTTAGCTAGCCAACAACACCAAAAAACAAAAAGGCAAATAAAATACATGATTCACTTCATATATGTGATGAGTCACATGGAAGTCATGAACTTGGATTCTTTGCTTGACTTGAGCTTTGCCAAATAATTCTTTGGGTGCTGAGGCCACGTCTATATTGCCTCTCTGCTGAGTATGCAAGCATTGCTGAGAAACAAGCTGTGACCTCTCCTTCCCACTCCATGTACACACAATACCTGCAATTAGACAGCGTAGAGGGGTCTGGAGTGTATACTGTAGTGCTGCTCTCCGGCTCTCTGTCCCTGGAAAGACTGAGAGCAGGTACTGTGCTCAGGATGCCTCCAAGCTTAATTGTCAGACTTGGGTGCATGTAGGTGAGGCTTGTTTGTCTCAGAGGCTTCATAAACATTGCCTTTCCCATGATGTCAAGCCCCTGTTTATTGCCTCATTCTAGGGAAAGCAGTACATTTTGGTCTCTGCTGAGTGAGTTTGACAAAGAGTGAGTAACTCCTTCATGCCCCCCCCCCCCCCCC